ACGGGGAAAAATATGTGCGGCTTTCGCTCAGCGTATCGCGGCGACGGCGGCCCTGGCGACACGCTGCTCCGTGGGGCGGGCGGCTGGGCAAGGCTCGGAGCGATCATGCCTGGGGACTGGGCCGTGGTCAACGTGTCGCGCCGAAGCGTGGTGGTCCAGACAAGCGGCGGGCCTAGCTGCATCCCAACCAGGCCCAGTCGGCCCCGAGCGCGCCCGGTTAAGGCAGCTGGCGAGTTGTCTGCAACGTGCTGCTTTCGCCAGCAAGCATGCCAGTGGAGGATGCCGAGGGCATGGCGAGGGCGCCACGCCGGGACGGCGCTGCACCTCCAAGTGGTTCGAGCCGCTGACAGAGAGGAGGTGCAAGCAGTATGGCCGCCATTGGTCGCATTGGAGGCGACCGTCGCGAACGACTCCCTGCCCCTCTGCTCGAGGCTGAGCGTGCGAGTCTCGGCGACGCTGGACTGACCGTGCTGTTCGGCTGCACGCTGCGTTGATGCTTCCCCTCACCATGCACTGCTGTCTCGGGTGTTGCTGGAAGTGCCGATGGACGTAAATGTTGCGACGGACGGAAGAACGTTAGACGATGGACCTCTTGTTGCCCATCGCTCCTGGGCCGTCTTCGGCGGTCTTTGGCGGTCTTCGGACGACTGTTGGCGGTCTTCGGCGGTCTTCGGAAGGTCTTCGGCGGTTTCCGGCGGTCTTTGGCGCGAAAGCTGGATGGTTGCGTTCAACAAGGGGTCCATGATAGAACACCTAAGATCTGGATGGACCTCGAGAAAGTCGATCCAGCCGGGGGGATAAGGGCAAATCCGCTCAGAATTGGCACTCAGGCCCCTTCCCAGGGTCCATCTGGCTGAATTTTTCACCCTGGATCAAAAACGTCCGGGGACCCGTAAACAGTCCACGGGGACCTAAAAATGCCCAGCATCTTCTCGAACCCAGGCTACAGTCGGGAACTGGCGCATTGCGCGTCGCAGCGGCGGCCCCGGGCGACACGCTATGTCCTGCGGGTGGCTCGCGTGCCGCTCCGCTCCAGGGGCGGGCGGGAGGCTCGGAAAGGCTCGGGCCGTGGACGCTTTGGGCTCCTCCTCCTCCTCCTCCTCCTCCTCCTCCTCCTCCTCCTCCTCCTCCTCCTCCTCCTTCCTGGCCGTGGCCTCCAAAGAGTTTTCGGACGTTTCTCGTCGGTTGCTGGAGGTGTTCCTGCCTCGGGATGCGGCTGCGCCTCGCCGAGAGGGTCCCGGGGGTGCGCGGCACGCCCCGAGCGGCTGCCGGAGACCCGAACCATGACCCGAGTCTGGCGCGCGGCTCCAGGGGGTATCGGGGGGGAGGCGATAACTTGGGGGAAAGAAAAGTGCACTCGCCAGGCCCTGAACGTTTGATCCCTGAAGGGGCCCTGAGGGGCCCTAGAGGGCTCCTTTTCTGCAGCCCCCGCCGCGGCGCGCTCTGGGGCGCGCCCCAGTGGCTGGGCCTTGCGGGCGGCGCCCTCGGCGGTGTCATCGTGGGGGTCGGCGGCTCGCCCAGGGGGGGAGGAGGAGGAGGAGGAGGAGGGAGGAGGAGGAGGAGGAGGAGGAGGGAGGAGGAGGGAGGAGGGGAGGAGGAGGGAGGATGAGGACGAGGAGAGGAGGAGGAGGAGGAGGAGGAGGAGCAGGCGACGCCCAATTTGGGAGTGGTCTGGACCTCTCCAGGGCCGCTCTGGCCCTTCCGTCGCCACTCTGGCCCTTCCGCCGCCGCTCCGACCTTCCCTGGCACTCGGGCCCCGCCCGGGGGAGCGTGCCTGGCCCTGGCGCACCACCCGGCGCGCAGGCGTCGCCGTCGCGGCTGCCTCTGTTGACCAGAACACCAGCGACACCACCCCACCTACGGCCCCTCCTCCTTCCCCTCCTCCTCCTTCTCCTCCTTCCCCCTCCTCCTCCTCCTTCTCCTCCTTCCCCCTCCTCCTCCTCCTCCTCTTTCCCCTCTCCTCGCCGGCCGATGCCGCGCAGGGCGGCGGCATCGGCCGGCGGCACCACCCCACCCACGGCCCCCACGGGCCTACTCTGGGTTTCTTGAGAAGCGTGGGGGGGTACCCCCCCGACGGGGGGTCGGCCTCGCCGCGTCGTCGCGCCGCGACGGGGGTCGGAGCGCCTTCGGCGCGCGGTGGCTGCCCGCGACGGGGGTCGATGTGGGGCTGTCGGCGGGGGTGGCGCCCCCCGACGCTGTATTGAGAAACTCGGAGTAGCGTATACCAGGAAATTTGGCGTGGGTTTGGGCGCGGTGTGCACTACGGACCCCCCCCATGGGCCGTCGCGCAACGTGGAAGGCTGCGGGTGGGGTGGTGTCGTTTGCTCCTTGGTCGACCCTTGCCTGGCTGCCTGGGGTCCTCCCGCCGGTCTCATAGCGAACGAGGGGGGCGGCCTGCAGAGAGTGGGAAGAGGAGGCTGCCTGAAGGGGGCCCGGCTCGGCTGTGCATCGGGCTTCCGGGCAGTCGAGCCTCCTTTTCGGGTGCGGCCAAGAGGGGGGCGTCCAAGAGGGGGGGGGCGCACACCATGGCCAGCGGCATGTGCGCGGCCCAGGGGGGGGCTGGGGACGTAATGAAATACGAAGAGGCGCCATGAATTCTGAGGAATACCATGGCCCGCACCTTGATGTCCCCCCCCCCCTTGTCATCACCCCCCTCTTGGCCGCCCCCGAAGGGGGCCTGGCTCGGATGCGCATCGGGCTTCCGGGCAGTCGAGCCTCCTGCTCCTCTCTGACGCGGTGCTGCCGGCGTCTGTTGCAGAGCCGCGCTGGCTCGATTGGCCCCTCCGCCTCCGCCGGCTCCGCCGCCCTCCCCTTCCGGGAAGCCCGGGGGGGAGGCAACCAGCACAAACCGCGCAGCGCTGCAGCAGTGCAGCGCCGATTCCCTCCGAAGAGGCGTGGCGGATGCGCGCGGGAGCGCGGTCGGATAGTGATACAGGCCCATGGCTGCACTCTTGGGCTGCCCGCTGATGAGCTCGGCCGGCTTGCCTGGCAGCACGTTCTGGTCCTTCACGGCCTCTTCCATCTTCTCTTGGAGCACATCACAGATAAGCGCACCCTCGTTCGTCACCAGCTTGAAGCTCTTCATCCAATACATCGCAATCTCGTCGTTTGTCCTCCCAGATTTGTACCACGTGACCTTGATGCACTCGTCTCCATCACTGTCCTTGAACACTCCTGAAGAGACCCGGCCCCTGTCCCCAGGCTCGTAATATACACCACTCTTGCCTTCGAACCGCGAGTTGGGTAAGGCCTCCACTTCATCTCCCAGAACGATTGGACGTGCCTTGTCTGTGATTCTCATGCTGTTCATCCACGACTGCACAATTTCAGTGTTGGTCATGCCACTATTGTACCAGGTGATCTTGATACACTCGTCTCCATCGTCATCCTTGTAGGGTTTTGAAGAGACCCGGCCCCTGTCCCCAGGCTCGTAGTACACCCCCAGCTCGCCTTCGAATCGCTGGCCTGGCAAGGCCTGCACTTCGTCTCCCAATTGTGGGATGAATGCACCATCTGCAAATGTGGACATGTCGCCCAGCTCCACGACCTCTGCTGCACTCTCCAGGGCTTGGGCTGCGGCTGCTCCATCGATGTCGCCAGTGCGAAGTTGAGAACAAATCTCGGCAAACTTATTTCCTGGAATCGAAACGGTGCCAGCACCGCCTTTGATAGCAACCCCAATTGTTCCAGGCGTCGGCATCCTGTCTCCGAACGGCTCTCGCTAAATGTATGTTTCCCTCTGCCCCTGAACAGCACCGAACGGATGCGGATCAGGGCGCCCCTCAGCCGTCGGAAGAGAAAGTGAGAGCCAGAACGATTGCGGAAGCGGCCCAGCATGCTGCACGATGTTACGACCAAGATACTGAAATTGATTATAATGATGATGCTGATGATGATGATGCTGATGACGGTGGAACTGAAGGTGATGATGCAGATGACGATGAAGCTAAAGCCCGATATGAAGATGGAGATGCAGACCATGACGATAAATGATGGTGATGATGGTGACGATAATGATGCAGATGCTTACGATGACTATCATGATCATGCTGCTGCTGATGATGATGGTGGGTATGATGATGGTGTGATGGTGATGGTGGTGATGGTAGTGGTGACCGTGAGCACGACGATGAAGATGAAGATGCTGATGAAGATGGAGACAATTAAGATGGTTGTGGTGATGATGGGTATGATGATGGTATGATGATGATGATGGTGATGGTGATGGTGATGATGATGATGATGAGGAGGAGGAGGATGACGATGGTGGTGGTGGTAATGGTGGTGACGATGATGGACATGACCATGACCATCACCATGACCCTGCAGGACACGGAGGGCGAAACAATGCTCAACGCCTCGCAACCACCCGCCCAAGGGGCCCGCGGCCCCCAGCCCGAGTTCATGCGCGCCCTGAGGCCCGGTGCTGGCGGATCCTGCTCCTCCTCCGCGGGGCGCTCAAATGCCACGCCTGCTAGATTGAGGCCTTCACGCGAAAGATCCTGAGTGGGCCCTAACAGCAAACCGCCTGCGATATCCCCACAATCTGCGCGCGAGCGGGCGAATGTCATACCCTCTGGCGGCTCCTCTTCGGGGTTCCCAAGTGCCACGCCTTCTATGTTGAAGCCCCCCGGGCGGACGTCAGGACATTGGCGAACATCCCAAGAATAAGAGGCGGGACATGCTGAACAGCCGTCAGCGAGTCCAGTAAGCGTAGGACAGACTTCACCCCTCCCTCCAGGGCCGTTTTGGGCCCCCCGCCGCGCCAAAGCCAAAAAGCCTTTTACGGCGCAGGCGGTAGGGAAGGGAGTACGTATGCCACCGCTCTGTAGGACAAGTCGAGGGCCTCCCGACACAGCCCACCCCAGAATAGCACTAGAGGAGCGCGCCGCCCAGCCGTCAACTCAAAGGCTGCCAGCCCGTCAACGTCCTCGGCGCGCCCGCGGTTCACACGCGCGCTCTGCGGCGACATGGGCAGACTGAGACGCCATCCTAGCCTATCACCCATGCCCGCCGCCTGAGCGCTTGGTCGCCCACAACTGATCGCCGCGGCGGTCGTCGCGACCGGCATCCCAACCCCGATCGCCACGCGGAGCCTGCCAAACAGCCCAACTCGAAGAGGGCGACCAGGATGTCCAGCGCTCAGCTGCATCAGCACACCAGGGGGCCTGCGAAGACGCCGCTTCGTCCTGCCACCACTGGCCGCAGTCACGATGCCACGGCGCAGAGGACTCCGTCGCGGCCGACTCGGATGCCTGCGCCATCGGCGTGGGCGGCGCGGGCGTCAGCCTCGGGGCGACGTTGTCAGTCCGATCTCGGTTGGATGGCATGTCCTTACTCGGCCGCGGCTCGACCCTCTCCCATGGGGGCGCGTTTGGCGCGGTGCGCCAATCTCTCCCGGGGGATTTGCCCCGTGAGAGGGCCACTCTGACGGAACGCCCGCAGTGGCGCACTCTGCTCCAACTCCAATTTTTGTAGGCTCCCAAGCCCGAAAGCGCACGGTAGAGGCCTGACCCGGCGGGACATAACTGCTGTTGCGTTTCTGAGCACGAGATGTCTCGCCACTGCGTTCATCGGCCCTCGCTCTTATGCGTCTGCACCCCCGCCTCGGCGGTGGAGGTTGCCCGTGACGCTTGTTTCCGCGAGAAGAGGGCGCAGCGCCTGCGGCGGAAGCAAGGGCGATCATCTCCTTCATCTGCTTCACCTTTGTCATTTTGATCGATCGTCTCTCACATGTCCTGAAAGTGGGTTCACATGAGATGTCTTAGGTGTTCGAGTGTAGGAAGATGATGTCCCTGACCCCCTCCCAGCCGTCAAGCTTCCCATCCGAGCGACGGTTCGAGCGCCTCTCTATCGGACATTCTGAGGTCATCCCACATGAAGGGCCCCAAATATCCGAAATGCTGCCCATCGGCCCGCACATGATAACTCAGAAACGGCCACCAGACTTCAACAGGGACCAGAGCCGTCGATCCGACAGCTGGCGCTCCAATGTGCTTCTGATAATTGACCCAGCGCTGACCCAACAGACGAGCCTTGTTCTGAAGCCACGCATGGACCCGAGCTGGCGCTGCACCCTCTGCCGACGCGGGCCGCCGCGCAGTCTTGCCTTGGAGAGCCACTGTGCATCGATACTTTCCCATCTCTGGATCTCCACTTTTGTTCGGACTTGGACGCGTTCCTGTCATTGGTGCGGCCTTGTGTATACGTTGAGGGCCTCGCAATCGACGTCGACGCAGGGACACTGTTCCCGGTGTCCGGATCTATTTCCATGCCTAGGAACGTCCCGAGACCCAGCATCTCCCACGGAACCGCCGGGCGAATAGCACTCGGCGTTCCAAGCCTTGGCTCGCATACTATCGGCTGCGAACAACTCACGCAGCTGATCACACCAAGGCGATTGCGACACGCCTTTGAGCACACAAGGCAGCCGCCCTCCCAGGGCGGAGGCGAAGTCATCTTGCGCTTAATGTCGTTCCAAGGAAGCTGATCGTCTAGGCCCCCAAACATGATAGAGTCTTCCATGTGTTTAACATAAGCGGTGCAACCGGAATCCTGGAATAGAGCGATCCAGACTCCACTGGAACGCCGGTCGAACACCACCGTCCACGACACCGTCGGGACGGGCGCATCTGACTCGGAAAACCGCAAAACATAAAGAATGTCACGCCATCGCGGACGGAACTCAGTCGCCAAGGAGCCACCAGGTATGACCCACACTGTTGCATTATCAAAGATGCGCGGAGCGACGGTGGCCATGCACTGGCCAGAAAGCTTCTCTGGGTTGTCTACGTCGAATACCCTCGCATCCAAGTTATCGGCTGAGAGCGCTCTGGACCATCATCCAACAGCGCGGGAACTGCCCTGGTTGGTCAATGCACTGCCCAGCTCTATCTCCCTGTACCAGCGATTCCACCATGCGCGTTGTCCTCCGCCGTCTCTACGACCAAAACGTCCGGTCTCGCAGTCTCGTTCAGCTTGACAGGAATCGCGGACATGTATCTATACTTCCGTTTTCCATTGATGTCAGTCTCTGGCGGGGCCATCTTGTCAACCATTGATTGCAGGACGCTCGATACAGCGAGAGGGAATCTCATCACCGATGGCGCATATCGGCCAATCGGTTGGTGACGAAAGGATACGCGCTCGGGTTGAACCGCCCTCGCTGCGCGCACCTGCGACGCATGAAAGACAATGGGTTTCACATCGGGAGGCAAAGTCTGCCCCGAAAATTGCGCCTCCGTCGCGAGGCTGCGCCCGCCCGTAGCATTCTCTCCAGTAGCCTTGGCATCCCACAGCTGGCTCGTCATTCTCCACCAACTTGACACCCAATACTTGCATCGACTTCTTCGGCGGGGCATTAAGCGCGCGCTTCACCTGCTACGTCGGGTGTAGGTTAGTGCGAACGTGACAGAAGCCGAGTGTGACTGAGTTTGTGTGAGTGTGGTCTGGTCTGAACATGAATGACAGAGCGATATGAATGTGATGAGGGGGAAAGGAAGGCGAGAAAGAGGGGTGGGCGCAGGCGCCACACTAACACCAAGAACCCAATCTTAGGATATGACAACCAGCACTGATGCCGGGCAGCTCGTACCCTCACCATGTGCAGAAAACAAGTTTATCGCTCGAACTGAACCGTTTGGAAGATCAACCCGGACTTATAAGCAACGCAGAGACATGTTCCAATGCCACTGCAACGATTTCGACATGTACAGGCGGGACCGCGCGCGTGGCACGCAAGATGTTACGCGCGATGGTGGCTGAATCAGTTCAACATGCGCGCGCGGGTGGCCTGGATGGTATCGCGTGACAGAAATACGACAAAAGCATGTGGTCCCCTTTTGCTTGTAGCGAGTGCGCTTGTGAGGTATAGTGACGAGGAAGCTTGGGACGGGAGGGTGTATCGCAACATACTTGATACACCCCTGCTTTTCGTTTGGCCCCCATCCTCCTCCCCCTCCTCCTCCTTCTCTGCCTCCTTCTCACCCCCCTCCTCCTCCTCCTCCTCCTCCTCCTCCTCCTCCTCCTCCTCCTCCTCCTCCTCCTCCCCCTCCTCCTCCTCCTCCTCCTCCTCCTCCCCCTCCTCCTTCCAGCATCACCACCCTCGCCATTGTCATCAACGACCGTCATCATAATCGTCGTCACCATCGTAGCCGCCGGCAATCAATCATCACCATCAGACAGCACAAGCAGCAGCAGCAGCAGCAGCATCGTCATCAGCACCATCACCATCACCAACCGATACACGGCATCATCATCATCATCATCATCATCAGCAGCAGCAGCATCATCATCATCGTCATCAACATCATCAGCATAATCATCATCAACAACATCATCAGCATCATAATCGTCATCATCAGCTGCAGCATCATTATCATCATCAGCAGCAGCATCATCATCATCAGCATCAGCATCATCATCGTCATCATCATCAGCAGCATCATCATCAGCAGCAACATCATCCGATGACAAACAGACCTCCAATCACGAGCCATTCGGTCATGTGGCGGATTGCGGAAACCCTGAACCCAGAAACGTGTTCATCTCTTAGGGGGCACATCTTTTGCTTCCGCCGCCTTCCGCCCGCCTTCCGCCAGCTTCCGCCGGCGGAGGCGGCCTCGTTTTACTTCCGCCGAGCTTCCGCCGCCCTTCCACCCCCCTGCGCGGCGGAATAGATGACAGCTCCTTCGATCCTCGAAGGCAAGGCCCTCTCTGGAACGCCCTATGTATGTCGCGTGCTCCCTGGCTGCTCCAACGCCCTAGAGAAGCCATCCAAAAGCCCATCGGCTCGAGGGCGCGAACGCCACACCCGTACTCACATGGACTCGTGCGGCGGTCATGCTCGGGCCGGGAGCACATGCAGCGAACACACTCGTCCCTCTCCTCCTCCTCCTCCTCCTCCTCCTCCTCCTCCTCCTCCTCCTCCTCCTCCTCCTCCTCTTCCTCCTCGTCCTCGTCCTCGTCCTCCTCCTCCTCGTCCGCGTCCTCCTCCTCCTCCTCCTCCTCCTCCTCCCCCTCCTCCTCCTCCTCCTCCTCCTTCTCCTCCCCCTCCTGCTCCTTCTCCTTCTCATCCTCCTCCTCCTCCTCCTCCTCCTCGTCTTCCTCCTGCTCCTCCTCCTCCTCGACCTCCTCCTCCTCCTCCTCCTCCTCCTCCTCGTCTTCATTCTCCTCCTCGTCCCCCTTCTCATACTCCAAATGCATCCTGCGAGCGAAAGGAACGGGTCAGTTGGCATCGCGCTTAGGGAAGGTCAGCCAGCTCTGGAAAGCGTCTGACCAGCCGCCCGTCTCCCTGCTGGGTAAAATCCTTAACGTCTTCGTGAGCGGGGTCCAGGAGGTGAATACCAGCGCAAGTCGAGATGACCTCCACGAGCACATGCTGGACAACAAGTCCACGATCCGCAACCACTCGGAGCAGCTGCAGCTCTCCAAGTCGTTGAAGATACGCAACATGGCATGCCCATCTTTGACAAGAAGCTCGAAGACCTGGCGACCCACCAGCGTAAGTTCAAGCAGGAACTCCCCGCCCAGATCCAGGAGTCTGGGCTGGACGTGAAGGCGAAGCTGGACAGGCCGGTGGCCGAGTACCAATGCCAGTTGCGGGAGATCTGCACTAACAGCAAAAGGACGTGAAGGCTTAGCTGGACTTGCAGGTGGCCGAATACCACGTCCAGGTGCAGGATGTCTCCACGAAGATCCACAATTTCGACGGCCTCGGGAACAGCTTCGAGGCCGTGGGATCCAGGAGGCTGTAAGGTCAGCGGGACCATCAAGTATGACAACGAGCAGATGCTGTTCGACACTGCAGAGCGCAGCACCATGGTCAGCGAGCGAGTGAGCAGGGCAAGAAGTTGCAGGGAAATTCTAAAACTCAGCACCGAATGACTAGGCTCGAGGCTTCTTCAACATCGTAACAGCTACTGGTATCCCTCGCTAGATCCCAAATGTCTCCCTTCATTGCGCCGTGCATGGATGGGGATGTTGAGGCCAGGGGGGGAGGATTGAAGGCGAGTAGTCATCCTGAAAGCCGCCTGCAGCCCCTCCTTCCAGTTGGAGGCAAAGGCGGGCTGCCAGGCATTGGCATTGAAGCGTGCATGGACCATCGTGCAGATCAGCCCGAGGACGGAGCCCCTGCCCGAAACTTCGAGAGGGTCGGGAGGTTTAGCGTCTGGTGCGGGGGATGGACGGGGTCTGTCCCCCTGGCCCCTCTCCACGCATGGCCCTGGCCACTCCAAGCACTTCCCCTCCATCTCTTGTCCTAGCACCCCCACCTGATGAAGTAGTCCATCAATCCTCGTCCCCCTCCCAGACTTCTCCTTCTCGGTTTTCTCTTCCCCCAGGCCTGGCGCTGCCAGAAGTCCTTTGCTTCCACGGATGGGTTAGGTAGACACAGCAGCCGCGACTTGCAGCAGTGGCTGGGCCAGGGAAGCTTGACGCTGACCTTACGTGCGCATGCCGCGTATGTACAGGCGCAAATGTCCCACAACTTACAGCAACACTCGCCAGCCGGGAACCGGGCAGCGATCACGAAAGGAGCAGATGCTCTTTCTGTCCAGTGGCATTCCTGGGGAGATGCCCTTTCTCGCGTCCAGGGCAATTTCGTTCAGACGGCATGCTTTCCCGCACGACCTGAATCGCTCGAATGGTCATCCCAGACTTCATACAGCTATGCAGCGACATGTTTGGCTTCGACCAACAGTGTGAATATCGAAAGTCGGCCTCTTGAAGAGAGCGTGCGACTGCAATGAGTATACATCGTACTGTTTGGTTGAAGCCAAATACTAGGACCCCAGCTGACCCAACTGCGGCCTCATAACCGCGTGGGGGCGGAATTTGCCGCACCTTGGGGTCCCGGCCATGCTGCTGAGATTGTTGCACAAGACACAGAAGAAAAAAAATGGCTTACACGACAGGCAGCAGACAGCTAGCCGTGCCCAGCACAGTGCGAACTTGCGCATGGGCCAAAAGCACAGCTCGTCGGTCGTCGCCGTCAGTCGTTGTCCAGTCGTTCGATCGGTCGATCGGCTGGTCTATCGGTCGGTCGGGCGATCTTAACGGCTATCATCGAGTGCGAACTTGCGTATGGGCCAAAAGCACAGCTCGTCGGTCGTCGCCGTCGGTCGCTGTCCAGCCGTTCGATCGGTCGATCGGCTGGTCCATCGGTCGGTCGGGCGGGCTCAACGGCTGTCATCGAGGGGGCAGCTGAAGCGAGCCGCGCCTCCACCACTGCACGGTTAGTCATTGTCCCTGGACGGACACGCCTCGTCCCAATTTCCACTGGCAGATTAGCTATCTGACTGGAAGGGATGACCTTTCTCGCGTCCAGGGCGATTACGTATAAACTTGACGCTTCCCCACACGACTCGAATCGCTCGAATGGCCATCCTGGACTTCAAAAGCTATGCAGCGACATGTTTGGCTTCGACCAACAGTGTGAAGATCGAAAGTCGGCCTCTTGGAGGGAGCGTGCGACTGCAATAAATGTATACCGTACTGCTTGGTCGAAGCCATATACTAGGACTCTGCTGAACCCACTGCGGCCACAGAAATGCGTTGAGGCGGAACTTGTCGCAAATTCGCATCCCGACCATGCGGCCGAGACTGTTAAAAGAGGCAAAAAACTGGGCACTAACGACTTGCAGCTGCACAATAGCTGCCACTTGCAGCAATTATAAAGGCCAGGGAAGCTTGACGCTGACCTCACGTGCGCGTGCAGGCGGGGATCAGCCAATACGGTGCACGCACAGGCGTCAGTTTCCCTCGATTTCCCCGCTCAGACAAGAGACTGGCCAGCCGAGCACCGGGCAGCGATCACGAAAGGAGCAGATGCTCTTTCTGTCCAGTGGCATTCCTAGGGGATGACATTTCTCGCGTCCATGGCATTAGAATGTAGACTTCATGTTTCCCCACAGGACCTGAATCGCTCGAAAGGTCATCCCAGACTCTTTAAGGTATGCAAAGACATGTTTGGCTTCGACCAACAGTGTGAATATCTAAAGCCGGCCTCTTGAAGAGAGCGTGCGACTACAGTGAAGATATACCTCACTGTTTGGTCCAAACCACATTTTCGGACCCAGCTGGACGAACTTCGTCCTCATAACCAGGTGCGGGGTGAAACTTGCCGCGAATACGCGTCCTGGTCATACTGCCGAGATTACTGAACAAAACAAAGACGCAGACTTACACGACAGGCAGCAGAAAACTGGCTCTGCCGAGAACAATGCGAACATGCACCTGGGGCCAAAAGCACAGCTCGTATTACGGATTCCAGCCCACGGGTCTTACGCATGCTAGTCATCATTGATATGCAAGTTTGCATGTTGAAGGGATCACCTGCTCGGAAAGGGGGTTCTGATTTGAGGCGTCGGCTGCACATCACGACTCTTACCGCAATCAGCGAGCAGGCCGCCGCTGGTTTCGCCCACCACCGTGCCAGCGGCACGCTGGTTCCGATTAGAATATTGATCCGCTGTCGGGCAGGGTGGCTGCAGTCTTAGGTCGGGCATGTCTCCCTACAGGGGGATTTCGGACGAAAAAAATAGATTCTAAAAATGCTCAAACAAATAAAATACTCGGAAAATCGTCCCCTGATTATTGTTTGACAATGTTTGAATACCTCCCCCCCTCGGAACGACCCTCGTCCGAAAATCCCCCCCCTTAAGTCCTGCCCCCGCGCACCCTTGTCGGCCTCAAGACTATTGTACAAGGACAAAAAAATCGCCCTGAAATCGCCGCAAGACGTCCCAAGCCCATCCAAAGACGGCCCAGCCAGTTCCTGAAGATTTCAAGATCTCCCACAGATGCCCCAAGACGGCTCCAAAAGCCCTACGATGCGAAACACATTGAAAAAAACAGGAACCTCCACGCCGTTTGCTGCCGAAGCCCGTCGGCTTCATACCGACTCGGGAAGCCCGACAAGGACTCGAGAGCGGCCCAAAGCAGCCCCGAGACTGCCCGAGAACCCGTCAAGGCGGCCCCAAGGGAGCAGCAAGACGGCACCAAGAGCTGTCCACGCATCCCCAAGATGGCTCAATCCAGCCTTCGGAGAGAGCTCCGAGGAACCAGCGCGCGGAAGACGGCCCCGAGACTCCCGACTGGTCCTCAGTGGGCCCCGAACTGGCCCCCGAGAGGCTCCCTAGAGGGCCCCAAGCAGCCCTCAAGAGTCCCCAAAGAAGCCTTCGATCTGTCTTCAAGAGATTGACGGAAGACGGAAGAGGCGGACGAGGCTTTGAACAAGGAAGAGGTGTTCAGAAGCCGCTCCAGTTGAAACAGAGCGTTAAGCTGGAGCCGGCCTTAGGCAAACCCACAAACCTGCTAACGTACGGGGCGTGCCAGATAACTCTGGACAACGGGTCCTGGATAAGATTGAAGACAGGAAGAAATCCGCCGACCCCCGCTTGCCGGCGGTGAAAATGCGTGTGAGACATTTGGCTGCCCCCCTCCCCCTTTCCCCCTCCCATGGTGTCCAAAATGCCATTCTAGGGGAAGAGGGGGAAGGGGGGGGAGGGGGGGGGCGAGCTCGTCAACGCATCCCCAGTGCCTCCAGAGCCCCCAAAAAGCCCCAAGGCAGCCCAACAGTGCCCAGACAGAGCACCGAGACAGTCGAAGAGAACGTCATGACGGTCCAGGGTAGCCCCACGACGATCCAAGATGGCTTCAGGATGGCCCACGAGGCCCCCAAGACAGCTCAAAAGCGCCTCCAGAGGATCACCGAGAGGGCCCCAAGAGGTCAAAATCACCCCATTTCCTGAAGAATATATATATATACACTTTCAGCACATTCGCACTTCACGCTTCGACAGCGAACACGACGGCACAAGTGGCCCCTAAAATCGCCCCAAGACGACCCATGATGCTTCCAAGAAGGCCCCAAGACGCCCAAGAGGGCCCAAAGACAGCCCCAGGGCCCCCCAACACGGCCCAAGACAACGCCTGGAGGGCCCCAAGAGTGCTCCAAGAAAGCCCAAGAGGGGGAATACGAACTGACATTTCGAGCCTTTCCCAGCGAGATGGTCCCTCGAGCCCAGCAGAGGCCCCCGAGGGCCCTCCAAGAGGCCCCCAGAGGCCTCCAAGACGCCTTAAAGAAGCCCCCCAGAGGGCCCACGAGGTCCCAGAAAGCCTCACCCATGCCCCCAAGATATTCCAAGAGGCCCCAAAGAGGCATCCCAAGAGACCCTCATATTCATCCAGGAGACTCCTGGCAAAAGGTATAACTTCCACGATCGTCTCAAACGCTCACTCCTTGTGGGGGTCGGCGACATGACGCAAGCCACTTGAATATCGAGGACAGAAAGCCAGAAGATCAATGGCAGCTGCTGCTGTACATGGGGTTCGTCGCCAGCAGGGGGCTCGCACGGAAGACAACAAAACCAGACGAGCCAAGCACACGCGCTGGCTGACGAGTCCACGCCGATGCTATGGTGATGGGCCTGCTTTCCACCACCACTACCATAAGTTTGAAGGGAGGAGGAGGAGGACGAGGAGGAGGTGGAGAAGGAGGTGGAGGAGGGGGTGGAGGAGGAGGAGGTGGAGGAGGAGGAGGAGGAGGAGGACCCCCTCCCCCTCCAACTTATGGTGGTGGTGGTGGAAAACAAGCCCATCACATGGAGCCAAACAGCCGCCCAGAGACTCGGCGCTCGCTCCGTCCACGCCCCCGGGAGCGGGGGGGCCGCCCGCTTCAAGCACCCTGCTGGCATCGACACCGCTGGGATCGCCCACGGCCGGTGCACGCACGTTGTGCTCCTCGGCGGATGCCACCAGCTCCCCTGCACTTTCCACAAGGAACCGTGCGTCTCGCAGGTGGAACTCGGCGCGCGGACGGCAGGAGTCCACGACACACAGCGTGCCGATGTACGCCGCCGAGCGGGCAATGAGGGGTGCCGCCATGTAGAAGCGAGTGGGCTTCGCAAACTCTGGCAGCCGAGCCTCACCGTACACGTCATGCACCTGGACATCGTTGACAACGACTGGCAGGGCACGGCCGATCGTGTGGTTGAACAGCTGGTACCCGCTCGAACCAGAAGCCTGTGGAGCACGGATGACGTCGGGCAGGTGGCTGGCTTTCAGGTGTAGCTCGCCGTCGGCCCTCCAGGAGAGCACGGAGAAACTGGCAGAGTAGTGGACCACGACATCTTCCATAATTCTGCGCACTCTGTCGCTCACCTTAGGTCGGGCGTCTCCTCCTACAGGAGGACTTTTAACAAAAAATTGAAAATAGTCCGAAGATGATCAAACATATTCTCAAAATCATCGAAAACTCGTCCCCTGACAATTTTTTACGATTATTGAATATATCTTCTGTAGAGGGACATGCCCGACTTAACGCTCACCTGGACCGTCTTCTCTAGCATCGGGCACTCCATGAAGCGTATCGCTCGGCGTCCCTCGGAGGAGTCCTCTGTGTCCTGCCGCAGCCACTCCAAGCTCGCCCCGAGCTCATACGTGTCATCGGCAAGGCAACATGAGGCGCGCTCTTTGCCCTCCATTGGAAGTGCCAACCAGCTCGCCGGCTAATGGCTGCGGGGCACGAGTAGAGGAAGAAGCACCAGCATGGTGTTACACTTGAGCGTGAGTGTGGAGGAAAGGTTGCTGCTGTTGCTGGGAGCCCGCAACACACAACACAGATGCTGCATTGGCTTCCCTGTCATTTCAATAAGTGCGCGCGGGCAGAGAATATGCAAGATCTTGATTGGAAAACCAGTGGTCCTCGAGACATGTATGTTGAAATGCTTGCAAACTAGTTTGTTTGATGTGATTTCGACGTGTACGCGCGACCTGCAAGGGACTATTGAAAAGTGAGATTGTGAAATACACGACTGCGGCCTTTTACCCTGGCCTCGAAGGGGCGGTAGATTCCCTGTCTTTTCAGAAAGGCGAAATGTGTGTGGACAAATCAACTTCGACCCTCTTGAAGTCGTCAATTCCACTGTTCGTGCGAACATGCCACCCACCCACCCGCAACTTGTTTGGCCAAACAAAGTCGGCCACGATTGCGGCTCCCGACTTGACCTTGCTAGCGCGTCTCTAGGGCCGCGCTGGCGACCGCGCCCTCGCACGCAGAGCGACCAGCTTGTTTGGCACGACTGATGCGGCCGCGATTGCGCTTACCGATTCGAACTTCTCAGCGCGCCTCAAAGGCCGCGCTTGCGAACGGGCACGTCGGTGAGGGTCGGGGGCTCGAGCGGGAAAAATATCATGACCACGTCGACAACGGCGGCAACGATGGCGACGATAGTGGTGGCGATGCTGACGATGACGACGGCAAGGCCAATGACGGCGTCGATGCTGGTGACGACGATGACGATGATGTTGTGATGATGCTGGCGGCAATGGTGGGGATCGACGATGACGAGAACGGCCGGGCGATGATCCGATGGCGCTGATGAGGGTGATGAAGAAGTGAGCGCGCACAGACATCCGATACATCTGGCAGTCTTGTCATTGCACTGGCCTTGCAGACGTGCTGCAGCGGATTAGTGCGTAGATTTCTGCGTGGATTTTTGCCCAAAGCGGCGAGCGAAAAACGAAGTGAATTTCGCGTGGATTATTTTTGGTTTTCACTTCTAGCTAACCAAAAAAAATCTGCACGCAATTCACTTCGAAAGCCGGAACCAAATTCTCCAGGACACTCTGGGCCCATCCTATCGTTTTCCGAACGAAATGCGCTCTGCGATGCTGGCGCCATGAGCCTTGCTGTTGAAAAACACTGGGTTTCTCATATGCTGCTGAAGAGCCATCTCTTGAAATGCTTCGAACATCAGTGGTTCTGGAAAGATGTCGACACACGCGCGAGGCGGCGCGCGCATGTGGCGCGCACGGTTCTATTTGGTACGTGTTCGTGCACTGGGCGCATGCTAGATCAGCGCGGATGCACCGCGTGGTGAGATGATACTGTTTTTCTGGAAGAGGTGTCCAAAATCCGGTTGCGCTCGTGGGATTTCAGAACATTCGCGCGGGCAGAAAATCTGCAAGATCCGTCTTGCAAAACCCAGTGGCGGCTTAAGGTGTTTCTGTTGACACGCGTGCAAAGCAAATGCCTAGAATGATGTGCACGCACGTGGACGGTGTGGCTTTTCTATTCAAGGGATTATTGGATACATATCTGTTGACATAAAACGAATGCGCGCATTGAATTAGCGGACCCAGGTGAAGGGGGGCATCTATAGTTTTCTGGCCTGGCAAGATTGATATGATTTCACATGGAACATGCACGATGGGGCAAAATCGTGAGAAATGCAACATCCCTTGGGATCCCGTTCACACTGGTGGTAGAGTCCACTCTTCTTCAGAGAAGGAGCATTGAGCTCGGAGCATGGATTGGCCTCACTCCAGAGGAGCAGGCCCAAGAAGAGGAGGAGCGACACAAACAAGGCAACAGGCATGAAGACGGGCAAGCACGCGGGCGAATGCGCCAGGGCATAAAAACACACCGGCAACATGGCCTCTCC